ATAGTAATGAAGCAGTTTCTGTTGGTTAGTGCTTTTGAATAATGATAGGAATATTTTGCATTTGTTTTGGTTGAAAGATTATTTGAGTCAGTACAGAGCAGATGGAGCCTCTGACTGTAAAGAGTGATTTTCAGTATGGCAGGATAGGAAGTATCTGTTTAAATATTTATACACTATCTAAACAATGGGCCTAAACCATTGTTTTGCTTTTGTGGAGCATAGTGATTAAAGGAAAAAATAGTTCACCTCTAGATATTCCATGGATAAATTTGCTCCCTGGGAGGCTAGGGAAGGGGGGAAACACCAAAAACAAACACACGCACCCCCCAAAAAAACCCCAAAAAAACACACAAGAGAGAGAGTGTAACACTCTGAAAGGAAAAGTACTGGGGTTTGAACTAAATATTCCTGTCTGAGGGTGGGATTTGTTTTCTAATTGAAAAGTGAAACTAACACAATGCATCGCTAATTCAGATGGTGTCAAAAACTAAGAAATTATGGAAGTGGGTAAGGCAAACACTTCTTAACGAATTAATCTGGTAAGGTAAGATGGTGCTGTTAAGGACAGATTTGCTGGGGTGGCAGAACTGCAAAGTCTCTCTCTGGGGGTAGTGGGGTTTTTTTTGTACTTCTATTTCTCTTTTTCTCTTGAGAACATTCTGATTTACTTTTGCGATAAACCCGTAACAATGGGGATCACATTGCTGAAATGAATTTAGCTGGAAGGGATACCTAATGTCAGCTGAAAAATAGCACTTGGTAAATATGTTTTGGCCATGGTTCAGCAAAAAGCAGATCCTGTCAGCTAAGTAACATTGTTTTCTTGTAAGTGTCTTTTAGTTGAGCAGAATTGTGCAGTCTCTGCCTTTTTGGGAAAAAAAAAAAAGGGAAAAAAAAATACTGGTTTGTCTGTGGTGCTAGATTATGTGGTCCTGACAAGGCTAGCATGGATCACTTCTGTTTTCAATACATTTGTTCTCTGATGTACCCTTGACATGGGAAAGTGTTATCAGGTGTGGGGTAGTGAGTAATGTCTAAATCTACATCTAATACTGTCGTTTGGGTCCTGGGTGAGGAAATAGCCTTCAAGAGTCTATATTATTGTGGGATGCTCAGCTGACATCTTTTCTGTTTATACGATCTGCCCGTGCAATGTCAAGGCCCTTCTGAATTGTGAGATCGGAACAAGGGAAAAAGAAATAGGTAGAAATTGGGAGGCCAGATAAAGTATGCCTGCCTTATCCGTGTTCTCAGTAGGTGGGTGCTTGGGTCTGTGCTACCTTAACTGGACCGTTTCCTAAGAATGAAGAGTCTTTATGTGCAACACATGGCCATTGTCATATGATGCAGACATTTTCAATATTAGAACCTGCACTGAAGTTCCTAAAGCCGTGAACAAATTACGGAAATAAGTGTTTCTGTCTGGGCTTCAGGTAGTAATAACTGTGGGAAAGTCATTTACGTATTTTAGAAACGTAAAAATGCATCCCAAAGTAAACATTCCAGCAGAAATAACCTGGCCTTGTTTTTTCTCAGCTAGTAAATTGGGAAAGCATTGTTGTGTAAATACATTGTAAGCTAGGAAATTTTCATGTGAACAGTGCTGTGTTTATGACAGTATTCAGAATAGCAGCCTTGCCAGAGGAGATGTCAGACAATCCTCCTGTTCTTTCTTCCTTGCTCTTTTTGAAGCACCAAACCATATGGCAAATTAAGCCTGATTTTTATTAAACTTTTCATTGTACTGAGCTTAGTGTGAACTGGGAAATGCACTTTCTTTGAACTATGCAGCCATTATATAAGCATCTTAATTAGGAAATGTTAATGTTCTTCCTTACATTCCTGGGAGTATGTAGCTCCCTCTTGTGGCTAATTAAACATTTTAAAGAATCATACTCCTGAAAATCACTTTTTGTGTGACCATCGTTGCTCTTCAACAAATGATGCAGTGGTACATGGAGCATCTCTAACCTGTGCTTCTTGTTACTATATCAAGCATAAGTCACTGTGCAATAACTAGATGCATAGATGGGTAGATAGATAGGAGAGAAGGGTCTGCACATACTTGTACCGTGAATGTGACTGCTTCCTGAATCTTTAAAAAAGCTGAGTGGACACATCCAGCCATTTAGAAAAAAGTCTGCTGTCTGGTAACTCTGTTGGTCCCATACATTATATGCTGAAGAATGGTTTAGAGCTAAAGTGAGGATGAGATATGGGATATAGTGTGGCCAGCAGGAGTAGGGAAGTGATTGTCCCCCTGTACTCAGCACTGGTGAGGCCGCACCTCGAATACTGTGTTCAGTTTTGGGCCCCTCACTACAAGAAGGACATTGAGGTGCTGGAGCGTGTCCAGAGAAGGGCAACAAGGCTGGTGAGGGGTCTGGAGAACAAGTCTTATGAGGAGCGGCTGAGGGAGCTGGGGTTGTTTAGCCTGGAGAAAAGGAGGCTCAGGGGAGACCTCATCGCTCTCTACAACTACCTGCAAGGAGGTTGTAGTGAGGTGGGTGTCGGTCTCTTCTCCCAAGTAACTAGCAATAGGACGAGAGGAAATGGCCTCAAGTTGTGCCAGGGGAGGTTTAGATTGGATGTGAGGAAAAATGTCTTTACTGAAAGAGTGGTTAAACATTGGCACAGGCTGCCCAGGGAAGTGGTTGAGTCCCCATCCCTGGAAGTATTTAAAAGACGTGTAGATGAGGCGCTTAGGGACATGGTTTAGTGGGCATGGTGGTGTTGGGCTGACGGTTGGACTCGATGATCTTAGAGGTCTCTTCCAACCTTTATGATTCTATGTGTTGTAACTCCAAGGAGTACAGATCTTTCGGGTACCACATTGGGATGTCTTGCCATCAAACTCAAGGTTAATATCCTTGCCAGATTTGGAGTTGAGAGGAAATTTCCCCTCCAGTCAGGTTTGCAGGGACCCTTATTACTGTTGTTATTACACTCCTTCCTTTCTATCTAGTGTGGAGAAAGATCTGTATATGGTTATGTGGAATTTTTCTGATAAATTCCCTTGCACGGCCCATGGTTTGTTTTGCTTTCTTTCTGCGGCTTGTTACAACTGGGGCATTGTGCCTATGCTACATCTTAAATTTGTCATAAACAGTTAGGTAATGTTTGATGGCTATGGTGGAAATGGCTGTTGTGTAGACACCTCTGAATTAGATTTTTGTGCTGGCCTGTGGCTGACTTCAGGCCTTTCAAACCACTGTTCTTATATTGGATGGGAAGGTGCACTTGTCTTGTAATAAGTCTCAGAAATCAGGGCAGAAGATGATCAATTCATCTTTTACCTACAAAAGTGAGCAATGGTCATGACATCGCAAAATCGTATGCATAGCTTTGTTAAGAAAAACACATATTTTTAGGCTTGATGTAAAAAATACCAGAGATTGGTCAAAAAAGGAATTGAACAGCAGGTAACTTTTCAGTAGGAATGATTAAGTTTCAGTTTCATCACAAAACCTGAAGTTACAAAGTTACTTTGCCCTTTTGTCACCTGCAGTGTTGTCTGCCTCTGTGTTTTGGCATGACATACTCAAAAATACACATGAAGAAAACTCCATCCATTAGTGTTTCTGACTTGGAAGGAGGAAAAAAACAAACCAGTGAAACAGGTTTTTACTTTGAAATTTCTCCCTTCCCCAAAGGGTTTGAGAATTGAAACTTTATCTCTGAAAATGCTGATTTCCTATTTCATAACTTGTGGCAATTTTTTTCTCAATTAAAATAAAGGAATAATGATTATGGAGTTTAGTCAAAATCTCCAGATTACTGCCCAGTAATCTGCAAACCAGTGATGTGAACCCACAGCAATAGAGCAGCAAACATGTATTGCCTCAGGGACGTTATTAAACACCCTGCATATTTATTATCTCAAAATGGGAGCAGGTCCAGATTTCTAAGGCCACTTTTTCCCTTCCTCTTCCTGAGCTGTAATTCGGACCAGCACATAAATATTTGACTTAATGTTTCTGTGGAAATATAAACAATATAAAATTGCTAGAAACAAAAGAATATGAAACAGCAGAGGGAAGGAATGGCTTGGCAAGATTGTCAGCCTTAAAGGGCAAGATTAATTTATAATCCTCCTAGGTTCTGGTGTACAAATACAAATTTGGAAAGCATGTAGCTTATAACAAGCAGTGTGTAGATCTGCAAGTTTACATATGCTGCTGTCACTAATGTGAAACAGCCTTGAAATTGGATTTTTAGGGATTTTTTTCTTATGGGGAAATAAGGTGGTGATAGTAACAAGGAGTTTCCGTACACACGTGTGTGTACATATATCAATGCATAAATTTGGAAAGTGGAAGAATTCCAACTGTGTGACTAAGCAGAGTTCTGGGCAGGATACCCAGATATTTTCATGAGGAGTTTTTTCCCTTGGTTTAAAATCCTGGGAAAGGAGGAGTGCAGAAGGGAATGGGGGGAAAAAAACCCAACCTGAAAGTAGTCTATTTTGTAATGACTTTATGATGGCTAATAAAAAGGACTGACTAATCAGAAAATAATGTGTGATGGCTATCTGGTATTGTAAGGGTCGTTGTGAAATAAGTATGCTTTATGCCACTCAATGCAATATGTCTTTTTTCTTTCTTTTTTTGTAAGTTTGTAGCTGTTTTATCAATTTAACAGAAAAAAGAAATAGAATTAAATAAAATGTCAAATTTTAGACATAGAGTGAATACAGTACCAATGGAATAATAGAAACTTTAAGTATTGAAATAGAAGACAGTAAAGATAAGACAGGAACGAGCTAAGGACATGAGTAGCTTTTTCAGGGTTTAACACAAGAATTGCACAGTGTTTTCTGAATGATTGAAACCATGTTTTATAGTTATATATTACCATGAACCATATTTTATCGTTATATATTATTGGCAGGGAATATACCTCAGACATTAGGTAAAAGATCAAAACAGCTTATGTGGGTTTAGAATGATTTTAAAAGCTTTTATAATATGGTCTGTAACTTCTTGTTTTCTGCCATGCAGGTCATCAGCAGTGAAGGGACAGAGGGAGCAAAGTTTCGACTCTCTGGTAAGGGAGTAGATCAAGACCCAAAAGGAATTTTTAGAATCAATGAGATCAGTGGGGATGTCTCCGTGACCCGAGCCCTTGATAGAGAAGCAATTGCCAATTATGAGGTGAGTACTCATAGCAATAGGATCTCTGCCTCTATGTTGATAACATATATTTTTTGAATGTGTATTTGCTTTTGAAACGGTTACAGTTATTGAAAACTAAATTGCAGCTACTGTCCTATAAAATTTTCAGAAGAACCGTTTGTCCTTTGGAAATGGTACATGTGTTTAATTTTACATGCAATTGGAACTCTGCTTTCTGCATGCAACTTCTGTCATTTATCTTTAGTAGAAATACTATCTGAACATTGTGTATGCATTTGATTTGTAAATACAAAATTATGTTTGGACAAAAGGAGATCTTTTCAGGAAGTTGCCACTAAGGTACCACGTGGTTATACTTTTTTTATTGCCAAGCTGTCAGTGGAATATACTATTCAACTCCACTTTTAGTAATGGGTATCTTTTAATAGAGATAAAGAAGATTCTATTAATATGAAAATGTTAGCAGATACATCTCTGTCAGATGTATGTCTCCTACAAAGATTTTTACTAAAGATTTTGTTCCTTGTCAATAAATGCTATGTTTCTCCCCATTGAAATTCTAACAGACGAGCTCCGAAACCTGTAAAATAACTGCACCGCAATGTCCTGAAATGCGTAGTATAAATAGAGGATCTGTCAATTCATGTTTTCTATCTAGCTTTTGAAATGTGCAGTCAGATAAATTGCGTCTGGCCACTTCAATGCAGATGAGCAGCATAATTCAAAATGCAAAATGGTTAGTACATTTGCATGTTGCCACTTCTGCCACAGCGTGGGGGACTGACCTGCGTATCCTCATGCAGCCGGGAGCGTGCGGTACTCCAGCCCATGTGGGGCACAGGCTCTGGTGACAGTTCTGACTGCCATCCCTGATCTCTTTGTCATGTCTGCTGCCGTGTAGTAATCAATACTTGTGCTTTCAATGCTGTTTCTCTCTTCCTCTGGAAGAGTTTGCCAGTTAGATGACTAGTCATACTTGCTCAAACAGCACTGCTAAAATTTACCGTATGTTGGTTTTCAACACTTAAACATCTATTTCTCATCCGGGTCTACAGTGAAATATATGTTAACCACTCGCATAGGATTTATGGTAGTTACTGATGTCCTCCTTAAAAGAAAAACATTGCAGTTTCTCTTTTTAACACTGTTCCTCATCTTCATTTAGCAGCTGTTTCTTATTTTATCAGTGGCTTTCCACCTTAATGTGTTCAGTATAAACCTTGAATATTTTTTTACTGGAAAATCTTAGTAGTCTTTTCAACCTAATGCATCAAACCACAAATGGCCCTCCTATCTGATCTGGCAAAGTATACACTTAAATTAAGACAAAAACATTTCCCTAGAGGAGCCTTTTTGAAGCAATGCAAATTATATACAAATAGTGCAGTGTAGTAGATTATCCAGAGCAATGTGAATGTATATCCTAATAGGCTGTAGTGCTTTCTAACCTGTTATATAGCACTCTGCTCAGCATGCTCACTGGCATCCTGTTGTGCAAAATGTAGTTGAAAAGTTCTGTAGGAGAACCCTCAACTTGATTAGTCTGTCTTTGAATCCAGCCCATTGTTTTCCAATAAAGATGTATCATGGTGTCAGGAAGGCAGCAGGATTTTCTCCCTGATTTCCCTGGTACACTGAAAGACGAATTACCTGAAAGACCCTTAAATTTCTCTCAAAAGTGTTTTTGCTTTCTGTTTTTGTTTGAGCTCCCCCTGCCCAGTATTGATGTCCTGAAAGAAAAAGTTCAAAGCAAAGGGCAAACAAGGAAAGAATAGATCTCCTTGAAAAAATAAAGTTCTTTGCAAGCCATCATATCATCAAGTATATAATCAGTGGTGGGGCAAGGATAAAAAGATGAAATCTGTTTGAATCCTTCCAGCTACACAGAGGGCTGCTGTGCATGAGCACTGTTTTTTTTTTTCCTATGCTTAGTGCATATATACTCCAGGGATGAGAATTAAAAAAATTTTAATAGGGCACAAAATAGAGCTTTGGTGATCACAGTATTTCATAGAACTTTGCAGATTTTACCATCCATGTATCTCAAAATATTTTAAATTAGCTAAGAATATTTATTATAAAAAATCGTTGTTGTTTCTTTCATTGAATGTTTGAAATTCTGCTTTTTGCTGCCCTCTTTCTCCTGGAGGAATATTGAAAAGCCTGTAGAAGTGTTTCCATATATTCATTACAAGAGAAACATGATTAAATTAAAGGAGTACTGAATTCTACTCAGACAACTGTTGATTGTCTGAATTAATCCTCTCTTTCTATTATTTATTTTTAAATATTTTACTTTTAGTAAAAGGTAGAAAATATTTTAAAATAGAGTGAGGAAAAAATCTGTCTGATGGTCAGGGCCTGCCAGTCTATTTGATGCAGCCCAGTTGCATGGCAGTTGTGTTTTCAGATGAGTTCAGATTCTATTTGTTAGCAAAACAAACTCAAGCTGGCAAGAGGAATGTAAGGCAGCTACATTAATGACACTCACCCCCCTGAAACAGACTTATTTATCCAATTGATTTATGAGTTTATTTTTTACGAACTCAGTTAAATTGTTCAAAAATGGACAAGTATGTGAAATTCCACCAAAATATTAATGTCAGGGTGATTAATCGCCATAGTAATTCTGACCTAATCCCCTGCTCATTTGAAAATGTGATGATTTCTATTGAGAAAATGAAACTGTGCCAGAGGAGGCTGGTGAGACAGCAAAGTCCAAAAGCCACTACATTGAAATTAGCCATTAATAATTATTTTTCTTCTCATGTGTATGGAACTCTGCTAATGAAATCGTGTTTGCCAATGGAAAAAGGTAGGTGCTTCTGGTGAGTTTTTCCCTGTAACTTTGTGGGGTGCCTCCTTAAAGGTCAAGAATGTCAGTTAGCTTCAGTTTTAAGTGAAAGCTGTTTATGAAGAAGAGCAAGAGGATGTAAGGATGTTGTTATGCCCAGCAGAGAAAGACTGTTTTAGAAAAGTGTGTAGGAATTCCTTTTTTCTTCTAAAGAGGTCTGATAAAGAGCATCCTGATAGGAATTCTCTGGATCAGAGTAAACCAGTGGATTTACATTGAATGGTTTTATTTTGGGGCTTGCCAACAGCCTGTTGATGAAACTACTAAATGATGCTCTGAAGAAAGGGCTTAAGCAGAATATGGGCATATTATTGAATTGCTTCTGGGTTGGTGAGATAAGCAGGTAGCCTAGAGCCCCTATTTAATGGGAGCAAAAGGTGTTTAGTTGTACAAATATGCTCTCAAAAATAGTATCTTTGGTTTTCTGTCAAGATTTGAATAAATACAACTAGTTGGAAATTTCAGACAATGGCAAATCATTTATTTATTTAGTATTGAAAAATGCAGATGTGTAAAAACAGATAAGGAACTTGGTGGGGAGACTTAAGATGGATTTTCTAGTCCAAATCAGTGAGGTACACACCATCCAAAAATTGCCAATAATCTACACAATTCTGAGTTCACTTCAGATCCATAGTCTTTCCTGATTCCAGCAGAGCAGAAATACTAGTGACTTTTCAGTTGCATCTTCTAGCAAAAAAATCGAAAGAATCGAGTGCTTCTGAAAAGAGCTGCAATAACAGAACTAAAGGATTCCAATGAATTTGGAAGTCTAGTTGTGCTAGGTGTTGATAAAAGATGAGTGAATTGGGGAAACAAAGGTTCCAATAGAGGGCCAGCGAATACTGGCTGAAAAACAGTGCTTATGGGGTAATCTGTTAATTCAAAACATTGAGCTCATTTTCAAAGCCTCACATTTACATAGATAACGTATTCGTAGGCAGAATGCCTTCATGCAAGTAAAAGCAGGAAGAGTTGCATATATTGATTACCATGAACAAGATGACAAAAATTGCAAAGTTAAAGAATTATGTTTTGTTCTTTACTCAAAGTTAGGTAGGCTCAGAAGAAATGGGAACAATATTCCATTAACTTTTTACAGTTAATGCATAAGATTTTGGTTAGGCATTCCTTGGATACAGGACAAAGCCTGACGTTGTATAAACATGTTTCCCATCACCTATCACTGCTTGTAATCCCTGCAGCAGTAAAATCCAGTTCTGTAGCCTCTTAAGCATCACTGGTAAATTGCCAACCAGTCAATGGGGAGCTTTCAATCGGGTCTCAAGATTTTAAAGAATGTTGCCATCGTTGATGGGCTTTTTCATAACTGCTTGCCAAGTGTAAATATGTGTGGAAGAGAAATAATCAGAAAGTGATCCTTTGCAAGCATGAAATGAAGAAGCTTGATAAAAATATTCAGCGACGGTGTGCAAATTAGAGCTGTAACCAAATTTACCTAGGCAATTTGAACTGCTAAGGAAGAGTTAGTTTTAATTATTTTTTAAGTAAAAAGTTTTATTTGCTTTAGAAAATACTTAACAAGCAGAGGTGTGAAATCAGCTTTCGGCGTTTTTTATAATGGCAGATCACACTTCTGTGAAAGGATGCCTTGCAACTGGTAGTGACAGACTGAGATATTTAGAAAACTTACGTTAACGGGACTGTAAAGCAAAGTAGGACTATTTGCTCTGTGTAGTACTGTATCTATATGTTGGATAAGAAGTAGAGTGAGAACAGGCTAAAGAATTCAGACCAATCAACAGCAACCAAATCTCTAGTGTGGACTGCTTCAATTTAGGCTACATGAGACTTGTTTCTGTGACTGAGCCAAACATTTAGGGTGATGCTGCAGTCCTAATGGACTCTCTTTCTGTGTTTAATATGGAACAAATAATGGAAATGTTTCACAATCATAAGGAAAACTAGCTTGGTCAGGTGCCAAGGAGTATTTTGTGAGAGAGATTTTTAGGTACTTGAATGCATTTTTGCAGATACTGAAAGTATTACTGTAGCAAAAAAACTAGAAGTGAACACCTGTAACATATCCCGTACAGAACGAACGTGTCTTCTGTGTAAGTCCATTTTAGTGCAGCCACATCCTTTTCAGCATGATTTATCATACCCTGGTACTGAATCTCTGCAATATGCACTGTGGAGATAC